TTTAGCGTGCACTATAATAATACTAGAAATTTCAAATTAACTGCTCAAATGCATTGATTGCTTTGAAAATGTTATAAACAATTAATCCATGCTTCAGCTGTGCGTATGTCCAGATATGAAGCACTTGGAAAGTTTGAAGAGCACTCAAGAGGCTAGAGTTGCCTTTTGTGCTCTCCAAAGTTCCTGTGTACCTCATATCTCGACATAGGCATGCTGACTCATGAGTTGTTCCCTTATAATTATTATGTTTTTTTTGCCCTTCCTTCAGGATCTGTGGCCATCAACTTCTTAACACCAAAGATGATGGGACAAAGCTAATACCAGTTGTAGCAGAAGACTCAGGAATGTACAATCAGCGACCACAGACATCTGTGTTGGAAGATGTGGAGGAATTTGGAGCTTTTGGTTCACAAGGGTATGTTCCTATGTCAACTGAGGACAACACCACATTATTACAAATGTATTTATTGTCTTCCCATTCAGACTCAAAAGTGAGAATTTCATTGTCTTTAGAAAATACATGTAATCTGTGCTACAGTTTAGTGATTGCCATGAATAAAGACAGGCAATCATCAATTAAATTGAAATAAAGCAATGTGACTGTTTGCGAAGTGATGCCCAGTTCTACCAGTTTTTACCTTATACTTTTGTTTTTTTTTTCTAGCTTATTCATTGAGGGATTTCATCTTGATCCTTTACCAGAACCTCTTGGATCTTATATGAGTGGTAAGAACTATTGTTTATCAAACAAGAAGGAGTCAGTGTTATAAATGCCATGCATTTTTGTTGCCCAAGATAACAAAATGTTTTTCAAAATAACCTCAGTTTACACTGCAGCCAAAACAAAAAACAAGACAAATAAAAAAAATAAATAAATAAATAAAGGAAGTCTGGAAGTGAAGGGACAAGATGACCTGAAGTCACGCTGCAATCAGAGCCTCCTTTTGTCTACTGAATTGAAGTGCAGAAAAGGAGGCTGTGCCTGAATCTCTTCAAGCCTTTGAAGTCGCTGCAGCTTGAACTTGTTTCCTTTTGTCAAAGTGGTTTTTAGAACATGAGCATCCGTTAATAGATAATAGCTGAGCTCACTGTACCAAGCGCACAACTAGTTTGCCTGGGTTTGAAAATTTATCCTTCAGGATACATACAGTGTACATGTAATGAGAAGCCTGAAACCCAAAAATTGATATCGAAGCATGTGTTTGAATGCTTTATAATAAGAAATGAGGAGGAAGACAAAAAGATCAAAATATGTGTCTGTGCGTGTGTATTAAATCATTGCTATTTGTAATAACTTGTTATGTATAATGTAATAAATAGCTTAACATAGAAGATTGTAATTTTAAATTATTTGGAAAACAGTCAATGTACCAGGTGGTATAAGACCCCAAATAAAATATTGTCTTGTCTCTTGTCTGGTACAAGAGAAAGCAACAGAAAGTGCTGTCGGTCAAACGGTCAGTGAAAAATTGTGGACTATTTTATAGTAGGGAAAATTTGGACCACAGCAGAATATTGTTGATACAGTAACTTTAATGAGCGTAAAAAAGTCTGTAATCTTATTTCTTTTTTCTGCAAGGCTAATTCGCCTTTTTGTTAAATTTCATTCAATGCAGATGATGAATTGAATGGCTTTTATGCAGAATTTGAAGAGGAAGTTCTGGCAGAGGATGGTGAAGTAGAAGAGTATTTTGGTTATGATCTACCTGCTGTGTGAGTTGACACTTAGCTATGGCTTATTGATTTTACAGTCAACATCATACATGAAGTTGTGTTTTTCAGTGTTCTGCCATCTGATTTGATGCACCCATGCCATTGTTATTAAACAGATGCACTCGTGGGCATGCAAATTGCCCTCCTGTTGTGCTTTGATGTTCCCTTCAAATGAGAACAACATCCATAAGTTACTATTTCCAATATAAACTGTATTACCAAATCCAATATAATTCTCTTGCAGATTATGCTACTCAGGGATGTAACACGTAACTTTTATAACAGCTGCAATCGGCGACAAAATGGGTCGAGACACTTTGCCCGAAATGGACTTTTTGACGTTTTCCGGACTTCAAAAGGGGAAAAGATAGCGTTTCCTCCCCCATCCCCTCCATGTAATGTTGTGCCACTGTTCAAGCTACCTTTAGAAAACAAGAAACATCCCAACTTTGAATGGAGGGGACAGGGAAGGGGTGTTGATTCTTATGCTTCTGAAGTTACCCTATTTGAGTACAATGTCTCAACAATTTTGTCACCGATTGTAGTCTGTAGAATTTCAAACTTTAAGAGATAGAGTTAGTTCTCTGTAAAATAATAGTGCATGTACCTTGTACTTTGCAGAGAGGAAGAGGGGTCAGAGTCAAATGCAGGAAACAGGTATCGTCGTCAGATGAGGAGAGGTTACCCTCCTCTTACACCAAACGCCTGTGCCAAGGATGCTGTTGTCAGTCAGTTGTTTGATCAGGCCTGGGGAGAGGTAAGCTAGCAAAAGTTATTTCATCTTAAAGTTCATTCTAGAATTGAGGGGATTGTTTATTAGTATTAATTTATTTGTGCCTTTCTCAGAGCCACTGGGGGAAGATACGACTTATATGCCTTGTTTAATTTTTTCAAAGGGGCTATGCCATTCTATTTTTCTTTTTTTTTTTCCAATTTTTAATGTTATGCCTGTGAAAATCCCGGAAAAATTCTTATGGTTATTGTTCCCCAGAGGTGATGAAATTTTGTTTGATATACATTGTAGATTCTTCATTCAGTGTATCTCTACAGGAGCATTTTGTGTAACTTAGAGTTAATGCACTCAGTATTAAATGACTTCAGAGTAGAATTGACCTCAAACAGTAATATCCTCGTGACATACAATGCACATGTAGTCTCTTTACACATAAATGTGACCTGCTTACTCCCCCTATGTCTGCATTTTCTTCTTTCAGGTGGTTTTATGGCTGAGAGATTTGTTAAGCCTGTACTCTCAAAAAGTCCTGAGAGGTATAATCATAATGTGAAAAAGTAACAACAATAATTAACCTAATCCAAAGAATGTTGCCTTTTCTTTCATGCCTTACAATGTTGTGACCTTGCACCACACAAGGTAACTCAGCTTACAGCTGTGCATGTATCTCCTCAATAGCCATCCATTATTCACGTGTTTGAATTGACTGTGAAAACCATCAGGAGGATCAGTCATTAATCTGTTTAGGATCTGATCTTTATTCATAATTAGAATGTTAGTGGTATCTTCAGTCTTGGAAAAAATAAAATGGAAAACCTAGACCCCCCCCCCCCTCCTCCCCCAAATCAAAGATAGGAAAATGGTGCGTTCTTGCCCTTCACGCGGCTTCATCCTTGATTTGGGGGGATCGGCTTTGCTTTTAATCTGTGCAAGATCTATCTTGGACAAAATAAATGGAAAACCTAGACCCCCCCAAATCAAAGATAAGAAAATGGCGTGTTTTAGCCCTTTGCACAGCTTCATCCTTTATTTGGGGGGGGATCTAGTTTGCTGTTTCATTTTATTCTGTGCAAGATCAATCTTGGAAAAAATAAAT